CGCCATCGCGGGGGGCCCACCAGAGCGGCTCGACGACGACGCAGCGGCCGGCGCGACGGGGAGGGGCGGGGTCGTCGGCGCGGCCCCGCACCGCCGCCAAGGCGAAACGCCACGGCGACGGGGAAACGGCCCCGGACGACGACGACGTGGACGACGAGCCCGCGTCGCCATCGAGGAGGTATTCATACGCGATGAGCTGGTTCTCCCGAAACGCGGCGGGCGCGGTGGTGGGGTGACACGCGAGGCTGCTCATTCCCCCCTTCATGCCCGGATCCGTCCGTTATCGTGCGGGGAAAGCGAACTGCGCAACGCCAAAGAAGCGGCACCCACCCCAAACACCAAACCCGGTGGTTCTAATTTTGTTGGAAAAAAAAAATAAAGAAGAAGAAAAACGCTGAATCTTTTTGATCGTCGCTTAACCAGCCCCACCCATCCCCCACCTAAAACCGCAAAAGGAAACAATGTGGAAGCAAGGGGTGTGGGGATGACAAGAAAAGGGTAATACAAAAGAAACCTTGGGTTAAAATATCAAGAAATAGGAAAAAGTCAAATGAATACATAGTTGCAATTTTATTTAATCCAACGGTACGCCCGACCGGCTTTCCTTCCCCCTTCTCGATACAGATACTTTTTTTAGTTGGTTAATGTGCGAGGACGTTGAGGTTGTTTTTAATCCCTCCGAGAAAGAAAATGCAAAGAACATCAAAAATGGAGATCAGATGAAAAAGGAACGCCCAGTGGAGGATATAAGAAATACCGCTTGTCGTAATGTTCAGTCAATGCAAAAGTGGCAAACTGCGACGTGGAATGAAATTAATCCTCGATCGTCGACCAAACGTCTCTTGCATGAAACTCCTCCTAGGGATATTTCTTCCTTCCCCTCCCTCCTTCCTTCACCTAACGCACGACCACGCTCCAGATTTCTCCGCTAAGACGCGTTTTAATCGCGCAAAATTCCGATGTTTTTCTGCGTGATTCGCGACACTGCCTCCGTCGCCACGCGTATGCGGTAGGAAAGTCGAAGCACCTCCTTCGTCTTACGCATGGCGGCCTCGCGGAGCTGCTTTTCCTTCCGCCGCAGGAACTTTTCTGCGGCCTCGACGGGCATCTGGAGAACCACGCCGCAGCCGATATTCACCCGCACCCGACTCGCATCCTTCACGACGGCCGCCGTGTAAAAGTGATTCCCCAAATCCACTAAAATCTTACTCCGAAAAGGAGAAGAAACGCTAAGGCTGCCCCCCTGCTCTTCCTTTTCCTTCCCACCACGGGATGCTTTCGACGCCGCGGCTTCGCCCCCCTCTGCGGAGGAGGAGGCGTTGATAAAGCTTTGCGTTCGGGAGAGGCCGCGCATTTCGCTAAAAAGCTGCCGTAGCTGCGCGCATTGCGAGGCCATCGAGGTGAGGGCATCCCGCCGCTCAAGCTCCTCCCGCAGCGCCTCTTTGAGGACCGTTTCAATGAACTGCTCGAGGTGCAACACGCCCACCGGGGCCTCCAGCCTCGGCGGCTCCAAACTTTCAAGATCAGATGACATCCCTACAACTGATATTTAAAAGGAAAAAAAATCCCTTGCAATTGATTAGTGGTTAGAATTATACGAATACTTTAATCGTTAGGGCCCGTTGTGCAGAGCTGCCGTAGGAATAAGTTTCTTCCCACTTGAACAATATTTAAAGAGGATGTAAGAGAGGAGGAGTAGAGCGTAAAGAGCAATTTTTCTTTCCCTCATATCCTTTTTATAGAAGATCATTCGTGGAATTGTGATATATTCATGACATTACGATGAGCTCCTAAAAATAGAGGATTTCTTTTCCTTAATCTTTCGTGAGTGAGATACATGACTGCGATACCTCTTGTGATTTTCTTTTCATCCCCCTAGCTACGAAAAGCGATCATAGGGAAACAAAGGGACCGAAGGAGGCAGTCCACTGACGTACCGACTCCCAAGTATATGTCGTCGCTCCCTCCCTCCCCTAGATCGCTTTCGCTTTCTTCTTCCGATCTCAGAGATCCGCTCCCTTTCCCTTCCCCCCCTCCACCCGCAGCCTCACCTCCATCGCGCGTTCATCCAAGACGAGCCGAACCACCACCCGCGAATCCATCCCGTGGGTTTCCAAATACGCCAACACCTGCGTGCGGAGGCGATTCGTCGCGCGTTTGAGGGCGTGCGCGTTCTCCCGCCCATCCCACTCCGGCCGCAGCTGCTGCACGAGAAAGGCGACAGCGGCCTCGTCGATATCGCTCGCGATCACCGGCGGGGACGCCGTGGCCCCCCCCCCTCCATCGAACAGCTCACAGGGGAGCTGCGCGACGGCCCCCCGCACGACCGCCTCGGCGGTGCCGGCGCTGAAAGGCAGGTAGGCGAACGTGTGGGTGTAGGCGGGGAGCAGCGCGCCGTAGAGCTCCGTGAAGGCCCCTCGCACCATCGTCTCGATCTCGCGCAGCGACCGCCCGCGGGTCCGGCCCTGCTTCCCGAGGTCGGTCGTGATGAACACGAGCAGCTGTGACACCGGCGGCGCCGACGCGGCGGCCACGGCCGCGGACGCGGACACGGCCTTTCCTTTAGAGGCCGTCGTGGGCCCCGCCGGCGGGGTGGGGTCGTCGGGGTAGGCCGGGTAGAGCTGCTCCGGGAAGTGCGTCCCGCGGCCGAAGAGCGGGGCCAGCGCGGCCACCAGGGCGGGGTCCATCGCCGTGAGGTCGTCAATCAGCACGAGGCCGTGGGGGAAGGCGCGGAGGTGGCGGGAGAGCCGCCCGACGACATCCCGCCGCGCCTCCTCCAGCGGGAGCCCTTCGAAGCTCGTCCCGGAGATCGTCAGGAGGTTATCCCCGGCCTCACACCCGGGGCTGTTGCCCCCACAACGCAACGAAAGCGCCCGGGAAACGAGCCGCGCGGTGAAAGTCTTCCCCACCCCGTTATCCCCGGCGAGGTGCACCACCGTCGGCTCCAAGGGATGGTAAATTTTATACCGAACCACCTCGATCAGCGCGTCGACGACGTGGGGTTGGCCGTAGAGGCGGCTGGAGAGGAGCTCGCGAAGCTCCCGTAGGGCGTGCGCGCGGGCGGCCGCGTCGTGCGTGAAGGGCAGCTCCGACGACGATGGGGGAGTGGCGTAGCCCTCCCCTTTCCGCGAACCCCGCATTCGGCGGACGAAGAATCGATACAAATACGACGATACCGGGTTGCAGTACTTTAAAAGGAGCTCCGAGGGGTTGCCGGGTTTGGAACAGAGCGGGCTGCGGGAGCAGACCCCTGCCGCCCCAAAGGAAATCGCCGGCGTGCGGGAATCCCCCGCCGCGGCCGCCTTCCACGCCCCCAAACCACCGCCAAAATCCATGAGGAGGAGCACTAAAAGGAGAACAAAGGACTGCATCCGTTTTCCAAGAAAGTTCCATTCGGAGGCCCGGTAGGAACCCCACCTCTTCACGGAACCACTAACACGATTTCCTCCCATCACAGAAACCCCTGTTAGAGGAGAGACGGCAACACAAGCGCAGAGCAAATCCGACACCCCAAATCCCTTCCTTTCTTCCCTGCTTCAGGGGTCGCGTTGGGATGGGAAACAGTGGGAAAAGGAAACTAGTAATAATAATAATAACGCTGTGGAAACACCCGCAGACGCGCTGCAAAAAAAAAAAAAAGGAAAAATACTTAAGAGAAGTAAGAGGGTAAAAACAGATCCCTAAGCGTGTATTCATCCTCAACCAAACAGCGAGGGGGAAGAGATTCATCCCCTATCTCGCATGCCCTACGTGAAACTATTTCGATGTGTATACACGTAAGTATTCAATATAAGCCTGACTAGGGAAGAAGTTATTCGTGCAGCCATCACACACCAAAGATGAATCCTAGCACTTCATTTCATCCTCGTAAGCACGTTGAATCCAAACAGGGGCAAAAAGTAAAACCATGGTATACAACGATGCCTATCGGTTCAGAAGGCTTTAAGAAGTGAAGGCAAGCTGCACCTTATTTATTTCGATTTTTAATTTTTCTTAGTACTAGGATGATATTCTCAAAGTCATCAACCCTTTTCCACCGCATTCTTCGGTGAGAAAACCCCCCTCATGATGAAGGGGGGGGCGCTGGGAGCGACTGAATCGCCAGCTGCAGCGCCCCATCGTACGTTTTCATGCCGCCGATAAAACCGGTAACGTGCACGAAGATCCCGCCGTCGATCCCGGAGGCTTCGCTGAGCTTTTCATCCCGCAACCCGCGATGCTGCAGCGAAACGCGGTTTTCAAATCCCGCGTTTTGCTTCGGCACCGTGTGCACTCTCCACCCCGCGCCGTCGGGGTAAATCACGAACAACACCTTCCCCTTGCAATGACGCTCCTCTTCGAGGTCAAAAAGGTGGCTTTTCCACGGGCAAAACCGCCGCAACGCGAGGATCTGCCCACTCGGATGAAGCTGCTTGGCAGCATCAAAGGCCTCCTCCACGAGTGAGCGCCCAGGAAGCGAGACGAAAACGTAACTCCACACCGCCTCGAAAAATTCCGTACTCGCGAGCTCCATCGCCGCGAGGAAACCCGCGCCCTCGACCTCCGCCCCGCTCCCCACCTCATCATTCCACGACGGGTTCAGACGCCCGACGCGATCGGAAAGCGTCGTCGTCTGAAGGTATCGCCTCACGATCTCCCCGGCGTCCTTTCCTTCCTCCCCTTCCCCTTCCCCTTCCCCTTCCCCTTCCCCTTCCCCTTCCCCTTCCTTCTTCTTGATTGCGTAGGGCTCCACCCCGTTATCCACTCCGTCGATCTCCTCGACGAAGTTCACATAAACGGCATCAAAAATGAGATCGAGCTCCGCCTCGGTGGCAGTCGTGCGGTCGTCCGACCATCCTGCCATCTTCAAAAACGTCTCCCGCGCAGGGGAACGCAGGGCGGCTTCTAAAAACCCCTGAATGATTTCTCGCCCGTAATGTTTATAGACTAAACCCGCCGAGGATAATCGCGTTTTATAAAGCTTTCGACTCGTCTGCATCGTTTCGTTAAACGAGGCCTGATGGTGATCAAAACGAAGTTTTTCCGCGTCGTAGATGGCCCCGACGTCCACGACGATATCGCAGGCGTTGATAATCTCTGGGTTGCGGGTGCGCACGAGCTCGGCGTGGCGAAAGGTCGTCGTGTGGCGAAGCAGCGCGCAGGCGAGGGCCTCATCCGTGTGAAAATGCCCGCTGTGCGTGGCCATCCGAAAGACGCCGCCACTTCCGCGATTCCCAGTGAACTCCCGCTCCGCGAGGATCACGAGCTGATTGAGATGGTTGCGAATGTGCTCGCGGATGAAATGGCGATGCGACATCGGTGTTGAGATGATTGACTGGCTTTCCCTTAAAAAGGAGTGGGAAAAAAGGGGGAAAAAAGAAATCATAACTTCACTAAGCAGGCCTGTGGACGACTAAACTCCCCCCCATGCACACACACATATCTATAGATATAGATATATTTATAATAGGAAAGGAAATTTCCGACCGATGAATCCCAAGCAATGGAATGAAAAACCTCCAACAAGGTGCCCTCCAATCCATCCTCCCTGACGTGAAAACCCCCGCCCACGCCGCAACGAAGTGGCCACGGGTGATGCCGAAAAAAAAAACACCCAACTTCCACACCTTTTTTCCCTTTTCTCACTTTGGAGGTCCTGTGGGGGGTCCACAACCGATTTCATCCAAGCTCGCTCGTGACGAGCTCCCTCCGTCGCCGCCCCTCCCCCCCCAGGCGATCCCTCCGATATCATTCCAGACCCCCCTATTCGCCGCCCGTCGGCCGAACTTCGCGCGCCCGCCCTTTCGCCGGGCGAGCTGCTGCCGGCGGTAGTCC